TTTTTTTGAGAATTTACTACCCCTTATTCTTAGAGAGGCTGTAAGTTTAGGAGGTGTATCAATACAGGTTGGTTGAGATTAGAAAGCTTTTTTTTTTCCTTTGTAAATTTGTACTTATTCTCCCTCTTTTTATTTTGGGTTTATTTATTAAGTTTTATTTATGCCTGATTTAATTGTGAGATATTTGGAAAAATTGAAAAGAAAATTAATTTCTTTTCTCTTTTGTATTATTTATATTTAAAATAAAGTCAAAACTTCCCCACTTAATTGGTTAAATTTTCAAACTTTTAAATTTGTTGTATTAGTGTCATTTGAAATTTAGAGTTTACTTTATAGTTTAAGTACTATTTTGGTTATTTTGGTTATTGTAGATAGGAGGGTAATACTTTTAATTTGGATTCGTTTACTCTTTGATTATTTTGATTCCTATATTTTTTAATTTTTTTTATCATTTTAGTTCCTACATTCTCAAGTGTTATAATTTGAAAGTAGATCTATCGATCTAACTTGCAAAATTCTAATACAAAATTTACACAAAATGAGAATTTTTTTAAAATACAAATGTATGACTATATTTTAAAAAATTTAGTGAGTAAAAGTATCACGTTAAAATTGTGATAAAAATAAAATTGAAGGGGCCAAAATAATCAATTTTTAAAAGTGTAGAAACTAAAACGAACATTTCAAGAATATATAGACTAAAACGAACAAAAATTAAAATTTTAATAAGTGAAGGATCAAAATTAACCAAAGTTGAGTCTATATCGACCAAAATATTTAAATCATATTTTATTTTGATAATGAACTTCTAAATCGTATATTTAAGTTCCTAAATTTCAAATGAATAATTATTTTGGTCTTAAGAAATTAATAGCACGCTTTCAAAGGTGTATTAACATGTTTATGTAGACATGTATTAGAGTCATCTAAATTAGATGGAAACGAGTATTGGGGAAATGAATATTAGGTAATAAAATAATTAATTATTTTGATTTATCGACGCAAATTTTTATTAAACATGAAAAAAAGAAAAGAAAAAAAAAAACAGTTTGTTGTGCCTCCATTTCCAGTGATTTCTTCTGAGCTAAGGAATTGAAAGATGGAGAGTCTCCTTGAATTCCAGCCTCCTGGTTTCAGTGTAGAATGTTTTGTGTTTGTTTGGCCAATAAGTTACCCAAATCCAACCTCTGATCTCCCATTCCATGGTTTTCCCTCTCGCATCTTCCTCAATCTTCCACCAAACACTCTCTCCGTACTCATCTCCGGCGAATATGACCCCTCCCTGTTTGTTGAACGGCCGGTGAGCGCTCGAGTATCGGTCCCGGAACCAAGCTCTTGGGTTTATCAGCGCAAGTTTCGATGGCTTGGTGGAGGCCACCTCTTTCCCGTCTGAACTGTCGTGGAGGTACCAGTTCAGGATCGCCGTGTTGCCATACACGAACTGCTCGAACTTCCATGGCTTCAGGCTCACCGTTACGCTCTCTCCGACTGCTAATTTCAGGCCTGGGTAAGCTGCTGCCGGTTCGAATCCGGCTTCGAAGGTTTTTTCGGTTCCCACGTCTATTGTAGGGTTATCCGATGATTTGCTTACTGAGACGCTCATTATGTTTGTCTGTAGAATTGGAGTGAGTTGCAGCGAGATTCGTGATGGGAAGTGCTTTTCTGATCTGCCGACTCCTCGCTTGGACAAGAGAGTGTCGTTCACAAGCTGGATGATGTCGCACCTGTGAGAATCGAGGTGCGTTTTAAACTCAATTGTCAAGGATACGTGGGATCTTTAATATAAATTGCTTCTAATAGCTTGAAAGATCAGTTTGGAATCAATTTTTTCTAGAAACTGTCTCTGTTTTAGTCGTTACTTTTAGTATCAGGAAGAAGAAACTCAATTGTTAAAGGTACGTGAGAATCTTAATATCATTTACTTCTAGTGGCTAGGCTAGGAAGATCAGTTTGGAATCAATTTTCCGAGAAATTGTCTCTGTTTTCATCGTTACTTGAGAGAGAGAATGAGAGATAGAGAGAGAGAGATAGCAGAAATTTGTGCTTAGCAGCCCAAAAAGTAGCTTCAAGAGTTAGTATACCTTATGTTATCAACGTGAACCCTCAGATCAACCCACTTTTCTCGAACCTCGGCCTTGTAATTGAACTGCAGAACCCCTTCAAGCTGGTGATAATTTAAAGAGAATTGCAATCTTTCATCAGTTGAGGGATTGCTTGAGTTCTCAATATTATCCATTGCAATGAGAGGGCAATAGAGTTGAACTTTCCACAACCCACGTGTTGAAAATGAATAAGAGAACAATGGTGAGGGTGTTTTCAGGGTGCAGCTGTTGGCCTTGAGCTCCAATATCCAGTTGGTGATTGCAAGGTTTACGGACCTCATCCATTGCTCCTCTAGATTAGATCCCAACAGTTTCATCAGCATTTTTGATGTCTGTCTGGACTGGCAATTTGCCAAATGATGCTTGAGAGTTGTAAGACAATCCGAACGGAGTTTGGTTGGAGCTTCGTAAATGCAGATCAGAAATATGAGGGTAAGAAATGCGAGATTGAAGATTTCTTTCGAGTTGAAAGTGATGTTGAGTTCAAGGAAATTAAGGCTAAAATTCTTTTGTTGGTTTGAGCCATAATGAAGAACATCATGAACAAAGTTAAGCAAGAGACAGGATATGCTTTCTTCATCTATTAAACTTGTGGATTTGGTGCTGATCTTCAAGGGCTTTGATGTCCAAAGGGATATAGGAAAGCTGATATCTGCAATAACTGAGAAAGTAAGGGTTGGAGAATGAAGGTTTTTGGTAGCAACAAAATTCAGAGAGGAGTTGGTTGAGCTTGAAGAGCATATGGATGTAGAAGTTGAAGTTACTTTCCATTGAGAAAGTGGTGGTAGGTTCTGTATCCAGGAATAGAAATCAGGAAAGCAACAAGAAGTCATAGGAGCATGCAAATTAGTTAACAAGATTGAACTCTCTTTATTTTCTCTCTGCAAGGACAAATAATGATGTTTTTTCCATATTTATAGACTCTTTCATAAATGGAAGGAAAGTAAAGGAAAGATTCTTAAGGAAGCAAAAGTCAATTGAAAAACTGATTGTTGAGATCATTGGCATCAAGAAAGAAGAGAGAAAAGTTAAAGAACTTAATGAGATTGGATGGTTGTGCAGAGAAAAGAGATGATAGATATCTCACATTTTACTTGGGGAGAAGTCTTCATATAAAGCGTATAATCTTTGATCAAGAGTCCAACTCTCTATATAATATGAAGCATCCAGTTCCCTGGCTGCAGCCTACAACACCAAAAAGAATCCTCAAAAAAGGAAGGAAAACATTAACAAACTTCGAAAGATGTAATAAAAGATTATCAAAATTAATAAAAATATTGCAAGCCTTTGTTGATTTGTGCACATGTATATTTCCCACTTGAACTTAGATTATGCCATAGTAAGAAATAGGTTATGTTCAGGTATTTTTATGGTTGACTTTAGGTTTTTTTTTTTTAATTTGATTTTGAATGCTTTGTTGGTTAAATTTTGTATAATTTATTGTTTAGTCCTGGAGTAATTTTCTAAAATAGCTTTGAAGGGTTATTAATCATCTTATTTACTTAAGTTTAGAGTTCCATGGATGAAATTGAGACTTCAAAAGTTTTTTTTTTAATTTAATTAAATTTTTAGGGGGCTTCTGATTTAGTTTTTATCAGAAAAATATTAGTATCTTATAATTTTAAAGGATGTAAGTGTTAGTTTTTAGTTGGTTTTTCTTTTTCTTTCTATTTTTATGTTTGTGGTAGAAAGTTGCGGTTTGTAACTTTTGAATTCTCTTTGTTTCTTGTTTAAGAAAATTGTGAAAATTGACTTACCAAGTTAAATCGTTGGCGACAAGTAAACACAGTTATTGAAGCAGCTATATATATATATTATATATTAATCTATATGGACGATGCAATTCCCATATGCAGTCAAATTATACAAAGTAGAGATCGACTTGTTTGTTACTGAGAAAGAAAATGAATAAATAAAAAAGGAGATCCCAAGTTGTTATTCTCCCTCCATTTCTAATGATTTCTTATGAGCTAAGGAATTGGAAGATGGAGAATCTCTTTGAATTCCAGCCTTCTGGTTTCAGTGTAAAACGTTCTGTGTTTGTTTGGCCAGTAAGTTAACCAAATCCAACCTCTAATTTCCCACTCCATGATTTTCCCTCTGGCCTTTGCATCAATCTTCCACCACACACTCTCTCCGTACTCGTCTCCTGCAAATATTACCCCTCCCTGTTTGTTGAAAGGCCTGTAAGCGCTCGAGTAACGGTCGCGAAACCAAGCTTTAGGGTTTATAAGTGCAAGTTTCGATGGCCTGGTGGAGGCGACCTCTTTCCCATCCGAACTGTCATGGAGATACCAGTTAAGGGTTGCGGCATTGCCATGGACGAACTGCTCAAATTTCCATGGCTTCAAGCTCATTGACACAGTCTCTCCTATTGCTAATTTGAGGGCAGGGTTTGGAGGTTCAAATCCAGCTTCAAAGGTTTTTTCATTTCCGACATCTATTCTTGGGTTGTCTGAGGATTTGCTTACTGAGACACTCATTATGTTTGTCTGCATAGTTGGAGTTATTTCCAGTGAGATCCGTGAAGGAAAATGCTTTTCTGATCCGCCAGCTCCACGTTCAGACAAGAGAGTCTCGTTTACAAGCCGGATGATGTCACACCTATAAGAACCCGAGGTACATTTTAAACTCAATTGTCAAAGATATGTGAGAACCTTTGATACCAATTACTTCTAATAGCTTGAAAGATCCGTTTGTACAATTTTTTCAAGAAATTGCCTCTGTTTTCGTCATTACTTTCAGTGAGAAAGAGAAGAAATTTGGTCTAAGTAGCTCAGACTTTAATTTTATTTTTTTGAGATACAGCTTAGGAATTACGACCTTACTTGGATATGATCTGTTCTATAGGGATATGATCTATTCTATAGGTTGTACTACTGTGTCCTTGAGTTCTAAGATATAGCTTAGGAATTATCAGCTTCAAAATTTAATATACCTTATGTTATCAACGTGTACCCTCAGATCAGTCCACTTTTCTCGAACCACAGCCTTGTGATTGAACTGCAGAACCCCTTCAAGCTGGTGATAATTTAAAGAGAATTGCAACCTTTCATCAATTGAAGGATTGCTCGAGTTCTCAACATTATCCATTGCAATGATAGGGCAATAGAGTTGAACTTTCCATAGACCATCCGTTGAAAAAGAATACGAGAACAAAGGTGAGGGTGTTTTTATAGTACGGCTGTTAACCTTGAGCTCCGATATCCAGTTGGTGATTGAAAGGTTTAGGGACCTCATCCATTGCTCTTCTAGATTAGACCCCAACAGTTTCATAAGCACCTTTGATATCTGCCTTGACCGACAATTTGCCAGATGATGCTTGAGAGTCGTCAGACAATCCGAACGGAGATCGGTCGGAGCTTCGTAGATGCAGATTAGGAATACGAGGGTAAGAAACGCGAGATTGAAGTTTTCTTTGGAGTTGAAAGCGACGTTGGATTTGAGAAAGTTGAGGGCCGAACTCTTTTGTTGGTTTGAGCCATAATAAAGAACATCATGAACACAATTAAGCAAGAGACTGGATATGCTTTCTTCATCTAATAAATTTGAGGATTTGGTGCTGATATTCAAGGGTTTTGATGTCCAAAGGGAGATGGGAAAGCTGAAACCTGCAACAATTGAGAAAGTAATGGTTGGGGAATGAAGGCTTTTGGCTGCAATAACATCAAGAGAGGAGTTGGTTGAGCTTGAAGCGCATATGGTTATAGAAATGGAAGTTGTTTTCCATTGAGAAAGTGGTGGCAGGTTCTTTATCCAGGAATAAACATCAGTGAAGCTGCAAGAAGCCATGAGAGCATGTAAGTTAGATAACAAGATTGAGCTCTCTTTATATTCTTTCCGCAAGGAAACTAAGGAGGTTTTCTCCATATTTATAAACTCTCTCCAATGGAGTGACCATGTTGGCAAGGACTTGGAGTCTCTTGATCATGCTGGTTTAAAGATCTCAAGTTTGAACTTTCGGGTGAGTTTAATACAAAAAATCTTTGATTTATCTTGGGTTTGGGCGGGTGTAGGTGGTTCTGGGTAGAGGGGAAAAAAGCTCCGACTCCCCGTCGTCAGAAAAATATTTATGAACTCTTTCATGAATGGAAGCAAAAGTAAAGCAAATATTCTCCAGGGAGGAAAAGTAAATTGGAAAAGTGATTGTTGAGACCATTGGAATCAAGAAAGAAGGGAGAAATGGTAAATAACTTGATAAGATTGGATGGTTGTGCAGCAAAAGAGATGATAGATAGATAGATGCCTTTTGATTGGGGGAGCTCTTCGCTCAAAGGCTATAATATTTGATTAAAAAGTCCAAGTCTACATAATATTAAGCATCTCTAGCAGCAGCCTACAACACCATTAAGAATCCTTTTAAAGGGAGGAAATATTAGAACTTGTTCGGGTCATTCAGTAACGTTTCCGTTTTTCAATTTTTAATAAAAAAAATAGAATTGCATGGCCCCCAACATTTATGGATTCATTAATGATAAAACAAAATTTTTATTTATGTTAGAACAAATTGGAAACGGACATAAAAAACAAGAAACTTGTTTTTGTTTCCAAAATTTCTATACGATTTTGAGATTGTTTCTAAAAAACGAGAAATAAGAAATTTAAATAGTTTTTCAAAGATTTTGATTTCTTAATAAATTGGAAACGAGAAGTAAGAAACGAGAGCGTTACTGAACGAGTCCTAATGTTTCTGTTAAGAAAGCATAATTATGTTTGGTAATTTTTTTTAATTGTTGAAAAAGTAAATGGAAACATGGTTAGTACTTGTTTCTTGTTTTCTAAAATTTTAGATTTAAAAAATACATATAAAATTTATTTTTTAAAATTAAATATTCATTTTTATGTTATATATATTTTGATATTTTATTTATTTTTCAAAAATAAAAATGATAAAATAAAATTTTTATCAATATTTTGAAAAAAAAAATTATAAAAAACTTGATTTTGTTTCTAAAATTTCTCACACTTGGAAAAATTTTAGAAACTAAAAACGAGAAAAAAAATTTAGAAATTAAAAACGAGAAACGGGTGCAGTACTAAATGATTATATTTGTCAAAAAATTAGGCATAAGAAACACAAACAGGCTCTTAATAAACTATTAAAAGATTTATAAAAATAACATGCATGTTTCATACATTCGTGTAGATCTTACATGAACTAAGGTGTATTAGTAAATAAATATGTATGATCTATAATCGAGATGATAAAATATTAATAATATTTGCATCGTTGGCTTCAATAATATTCAGACAATTAATCTAGATATTTATTTCATATATTCATTATCATAAAAAAATTGCAAAAATTAAAACCAATTAGTGATTCGCTACTGTACTACGATTATTTTATTTAATTTTATTATTTCAATTATCTGTTGAACCTTTTGTCTTCATCAATATATTATCAACATATCTAAAAGTTTGATTATGGATATATTCTTTAAAGCCTATATCCTGAGTAAAAAATGCAGGTTAGGTTCTTCCCCATCTACTTGAGGTTTATGATGGAGAACTCTTTTATTCCTTAGAATAGTGAAAGAAAAAGTAAATTAATATATTGTCAAATATAAGAAAGAATCTTGCTTTAGAAGTACTTTGATTTAATGATTCAATTAATATTAGGATTAAGGTAACTTGTGTTTAAATATCCAAATTATGGAAGCAAGTTGTATATATATTTCAGTGTGAAAAATGAAAATATAGAGAAGGCAATTAAAAACATCCCAACAGAAAAACTCCTCAACAGAAAAACTCCTAAAAAGCTTGGTGGACAAGGACTTGGAGTGTCCTGGTTGACTTAGGGATCTCAGGTTCGAACTTTCTTGGTGAAGTTAATAATAAAAACTCTTGATGTCTCTCAGGATCGTGCCAAATCCTTTTTCTTTTCTAAGTATAATAAATGTGGAGATATGGGGGATTGAACATCTCGCACACCTCGACTAGTCTCACGGACCTACTACATTTGGTACTGTAGTTACCCACTCACCATTTAGTTTAGCTTATAGTTCCTTTGTTGTTGTTATTGTTTAATAAAAATATTTTATCTTCTTCTTCTTTTCCTATCACTTTCATTTTTTAACGTCAGTTTGAGCGATTTAATCATCTTTTCCTATTACTTTTCTTTTAATTATCTTTGTTTAACTCAATTTCTGCCCTCCTTGTAAATTGAAATCTCATAAGAATTTTGTTGTGTTTTGGAAAATACGAGGAAATAGGTATTCTGTAGGGCCTTTTAGGTTTTTTAGTCGCCCTTCTCAAAACACAAGTTTTCTAATCAGAATAGTCTGAAATTTCAATTTTTCCATGTCTGCTCCATCTTTCTCACACTCACACTGTAGCATTTGCTCCCTAAAAAACAACTTGTCTTCACCGATTGCGATTGAAATTAGATTTTAAGATTTCTCATTCTCCTTCGTCTTCTGATTGCGACGGTTTAAGGTAACTCTAACCCTGTCTTCAAGCGGTGAGACGAAGTGATTTCAGTTTGTGATAGTCACGCGTAGCAGATTACAACGAAGGAAATTTTCATTGACAAATTTCGGTTAGTGAATTTTATCTCTCGATTGTTTAAGCGGTTCGTTTTAATTTCCACTATTTTAGCTATTGTTCGTATGTTCTATACAACCTCGATGTTGGTCGTCCGTCTCTTTTGCGATTTTTGTGGATTTTATACACTCCACATCTAGGSCTTYCGGAGAAGATGAAAATACATAATCAGTGTCATGGAAATGAATCGATGACGGAGAAAATTGTGTTATGGAAAACCAGTGATACTGGAAGGGGAGGGGGTTGATGTTGAAATAGCCATAGCGAAACATCGAGATCTAAAAACATCGAGAACCAGAAACATCGAGAGCTAGAAACATCGAGAGCTAGAAAAAACATCGAGAGCGAAACATCGAGAGTGAAACATCGAGAACGAGAAACATCGAGAGCGAGAAACATCGAGAACGAGAAACTCGAGAGCGAGAAAAACTCCAGTGATTTACAATTAGCGTGAGCGTGAAATAGCAAGAGCGAAATCGAGGGCAAAATTGAGAGTGAGAATCATCGAGAGCGAGAAAAATTTCAGTGGTTTAGAATTATTTATTTCAACTAGTTGTGTGTTTCCTTTTCCCTATCTTTTTAATATGTGATCGTGTATCATGTTCAATTATTAAAATTTTCAACTAGTTGCGTATTTCCGCTTCTCCATGTGCTTAATTTTTCATCATATATCATGTTCAATTTGTTGCACGTGCACAATGGACAATCAGTCGAGGATTAAGGTGAATGATCGCTTTCCTGCTCAAGCTACAACATGTCTCACTCGAGCAATGTCAACAGACTTATCAAGGATAAACTCACAGCGGAACAACTTGATATGTTTCGTAGAAGAACAATATTTGGTCGATTTGTCAACTTGGAGATGATGTTCTACAGTGGTGTAGTTCATCACTTTCTATCAAGGGAGGTTGCTGGTAGCAGTGACGACAGTATGAGATTCTTAATTTGTGGCAACGTGTTGACATTCTCGAAAAATCAATTCTTGCTTGTAACTGGATTGTGGCGGCTGTCCGGTAAGGTGATCCAGAAATAGCTTCAATAGAATAAGTTGCGGAGGAAGTACTTCAATGATGAAGCCTCCATGCTGCTCAAAGAATTTTTGAAGGTTTACARCCAGACTGATTTCGAGGACGATGAGGACTCCGTTAAAGTTACATTAATGTTGTACACGGAGCTTGTAATGATGGGAAAGAGCAGGAGCTTGTCGAAAGTTGACATCGACTTGTACAACAAAGTCGATGACTTGACTACTTCAACTACTTGGACTAGGGTTATGAGGTTTGGAGTAGGACAGTTAACGGCCTGAAGCGTGCGATAAATGAAAAAGTTGCGCTATACAAGAATAAAGTAAGAACGAACAAAAAATACCAAGTAAAGTATAACCTAGTGGGATTTCCTCTTGCGTTTCAGGTAATTAATACGTATGCATACGAGTTTGTGTTTCTTGGTTAATACTTTTTTAGGCGTAAGACTAAACTTAAATTTTCTATTCAGGTGTGGATATATGAGGTTGTCCATCTCTCATCACTCCCGATTTGAGCGAGACTGCGATTCCTTGGATACTTTGGTATTCGTGCAGTAGGGTCGTCGGTACAAAAGATTTGAGAGAGGAGGTCTTTGGTTCCGCGGTGGTAAGTGATCTAGAATATATAAGTTGTTGTGTAGTTGTAATGATATTTACACTTATRTTCTTGTGATGTACATTCAGTTGGTCATATCTTATCCACTCGTGGAGACGGAGCCGGAGAGGCACTACCAGAGGTGTCCATTGGATGAAAGAGAGGTGGTTGACTTAGGTGCGCTTGGGTGTTCCATCACCGACAATGTTGGCGCCGAAGACGATCTCCCGCTCGACGATGCGCAGTTGTTGGATTCGGATGTACAGGCAGTGCTGGAGGAGTCGGATATGCCACCTACAGATGCCACGTCTGAAGGTGGGCAACGGACACCGGTCGAAGTACTTCAACAAAGTARTTATTTTCGTTTGAATGTCAGGCAAAGCACGCGGCAAGCATCGCGATCGACGTCACGCGATGCTTACCCTACACAACGTGACGACCCCCGTGGATCGAACGATAGATTTGGGGCTATGGAAAGAAGGCTGGATTTTTAGCTTCGGACATGGCGGATGTCAAGACGGACATGGCGAAGGTCAAGTCGGACTTGAGTGAAATGAAAGTCATGCTGCAATGATTGTGCCAGGTAGCCTTTTCTATGACTTGGTATACTATATGTCTTCATTCGGTCGAAGTGTTAATACGTTCTTTCGTCTGCAGATCGATAGGTGCGAGGTGAATATCGGTGTCTCTTCGTCGGATACAATGCACCTGTCCGTCCATTGATATCTGATGTTATCCCTGAGCATGATGGGGATGTTGATGACCATCAACGTGGAGGTGCCGATACTGGAGAGGAGGATTTTGTGGTTGATGCAGGAGAGTCGATGCATGAATGGGCGACGGGTTTGGTTTAGTATCGACTCTCCTACATCAACCACAACATCCTTCTCTTCAGTATCGGCACCTCCACGTTGATGGTCATCAACATCCCATCATGCTTGGGGATAACATCGGATACCAATGGACGTGACAGGTGCACTGTATCCGATGGAGAGACACCAATATTCACCTCGCACCTATCGATCTGCAGACGAAAGAACGTATTAACACTTCGACCGAATGAAGACATACAGTATACAGAGTCATAGATCGTTGCAGCATGACTTTCATTTCACTCAAGTCCGACTTGATCTTCGCCATGTCCGAAGCTAAAAGATCCAGTCTTTTTTCCATAGTCCCGAATCTATCGTTCGATCCACAGGGGTCGTCACGTTGTGTAGGGTAAGCATCGCGTAACGTCGATCGCAGTGCTTTGCCTGACATTCAAACGAATATAACTACTTGGTCGAAGTACTTCGACCGTTGCCCACCTTCAGACGTTGCCTCTGTACGTGGCATATTCGACTCCTCTAGCACTGCATGTACATTCGGTTCCAAAGACTGCGCATCGTCGTGCGGGAGATCGTCTTCGACGCCAACATTGTCGGTGATGGGGGAAGAATTTTGTCCATCGTCGCTGTTGGAGGTGGAACACCTAGGCAAACCTAAGTCAACCACCTCTCTTTCGTCCAATGGACACCTCTGGTAGTCCCTCTCCGGCTCCGTCTCCGATATGACCAACTTTAAGAACATCAGTGTAAATACCATTACAACTACACAACAACTTATATATTCTAGATCACTTACCACTGCAGAACCAAAGACCTCCTCCCCCAAATCTTTTGTACCAATGACCCTACTGCACGAATATCGTAGTATCTGGGGAATCGCAGTCTCGCTCAGACGATTGAAACCGGGAGTGATGAGAGATGAGACAACCTCATATATCCACACCTGAATAGAAAATTTAAGTTTAGTCTCACGCCTCAAAAAGTTTTAACCAAGAAACACAAAYTCGTATGCATACGTATTAATTACCTGAAATGCAAGAGGAAATCCCGCTAGGCTATACTTTACTTAGTATTTTTTATTCGTTCTTAATTTATTCTTGTATAGYGTAACTTTTCCATTCATCGCACGCTTCAGGCCGTTAACTGTCCTACTCCAAACCTCAGAACCCTAGTCCAAATCTTCGACTTTGTTTTACAAGTTGATGTCAACTTTCGACAAGCTCCTGCTCTTTCCCATCATTACAATCTCCGTGTACAACATTAATGTAACTTTAACGGCGTCCTCATCGTCATTGAAATCAGTTTGGTTGTAAACCTCCACAAATTCTTCGAGCAGCATGGAGGCTTCATCGTTGAAGTACTTCCTCCGTAACCTATTCTTTTGAAGCTTTTTCTGGACCACCTTACCCGGCAGCCGCCACAATCCAGTTACAAGCAAGAATTGATTTTTCGAGAATGTCAACACGTTGCCACAAATTAAGAATCTCATGCTGTCGTCACTGCTACCAACAACCTCCCTTGACAGAAAGTGATGAACTACACCACTGCATAACATCATCTCCAAGTCGACAAATCGACAAAATATTGTTCTTCTACGAAACATATCAAGTTGTTCCGCTGTGAGCTTATCCTTGATAAGCCTGTTGACATTGCTCAAGTGAGACATGCTGTAGCTTGAGCCAGAAAGCGGTCATTCTCCTTAATCCTCAACTGATTGTCCATTGTACACGTGCAACAAATTGGACATGATATATGATGAAAAATTAAGCACATAGAGAAACGGAAACACGCAACTAGTTGAAAAATTTAATAATTGAACATGATACATGATCACATATTAAGAGGATAGGGAAACATGCAACTAGTTGAAATAAATTATTCTAAACCACTGGAATTTTTCTCACTCTCGATGATTCTCGATTTCGATCTTGCTATTTCATGCTCACGCTAATTGTAAATCACTGGAGTTTTTCTCACTCTCGAGTTTCTCGTTCTCGATGTTTCTCGCTCTCGATGTTTCTAATTCTCGATGTTTCGCTCTAGCTATTTCAACATCAACCCTTCCCCCTTCAATATCATTGGTTTTCCATAACACGATTTTCTCCGTGTGGAGTGTATAAAATCCACAAAAATCGCAAAAGAGACGGACGACCAACATCGGGGTGGTACAGAACATACGAACAATAGCCAAAATAGTGGAAATTAAAACGAAATGCTTAAACAATCGAGAGATAACATTCACTAACCAAAATTTGTTGATGAAAATTTCCTCTGTTGTAATCTGCTATGTGTGACTATCGCAAACCGAAATCACTTCGTCTCACAGCTTGAAGACAGGGTTAGAGTTACCTTAAACAGTCGCAATCAGAAGACGAAGGAGAACGAGAAATCTCAAAATCTAATTTCAATTGCAATTGGTGAAGACAAGTTGTTTTGAGGGAGTGAATGCTACAGTGTGAGTGCGAAAGATGGAACCGACATGGGAAAATTGAAATTTCGGACTATTCGTATTACCCAAGTAAAGAAGGGTATGGGAGGTCATTTGACAAAGTAGGTTATGTCAGCAAATGAGTAGAAAACTTGTGTTTTGAAAAGGGCGATTAAAAAACCTAAATGACCCTACGGAATGCCTATTTCCTCAAATTTTCCAGGTCATTTGACAAAGCAGAAGATGTCAACAAATGACTAGAAAACTTGTGTTTTGAAAATGGCGGTTAAAAAACCTAAAAGGTCCTAAAGAATGCCTATTTCTTCAAATTTCCGTTGTATTTTCCCCTTATGAGATTTATAGAATGAGAATATATATTTTTTTAGTACAACATGTTGGGGTGGGAGATTGAACTTACCACCTCTTGATTGGAGATATATGTCAATTACCGTTGAATTATGCCTACTTTGGTAGGAATATATTTTTTTAATTTTTGTTTTGAAAATGAATTTTAAGATATATATTTATCTTTAAAGACGAGTTTATTAAACAAACATGCACTTAAGAATACATGAAAGGCTGTACTTTCAGTTTTTTATTTTGGTTCATGTACGATTCATTTTGGTCTTTATATATTTGAAATGTCGAGTTTAGTCTATACTTAAAATAACGATTATTTTAGTTCATATTTATAAAAATTTGACACAAATTCTAAACATAAATGCAAAAAATTATTTAATATAAAGTAATTGTTACATTTTAAGAAATATATTGAGGGTAGCATTGTGTTGAAATTGTCATAGAAAAGTAAGATTAAAAATAAAATTAAGGAACTAAAATAGTCACTTTTTAAAAGTACATAGACCAAAATAAATATTTTGAAAGTACAACGACTAAAATGAACCAAAATTGAAAGTAAAAAAGACCAAAATGAATATGTTTGAAGTACAATGATCAAAATGAATATTTTGAAAGTATGGGCACAAAAATGAATCAAAGCTGAAAGCACAGTAACCAAAATAGTATTAAGTATTATAATCTATATGAAAGTATAGATATCGGAGAATTAAAGAGGTAGTTGTGTTAATTTTTGTAGGATATGTTCAYGAGAGACCAAATGAGTGATACTCTTAGGTGGTTATGTTTTATTTTGCAAGATTTGTCTCTTTGAATGTAATAAAATGATTAAATGTTTTACCAATGTTACAGGTAGGTTTATATATAATTTTATTAAATTAACACTAATTTGAACCTTCCACCCAAGAGAGGGTATTGATGTCATTTTATCTAATTACTCTCATTTATCGAAAATATATGTTTTAACTAGTCATTTTATTTCAAATCTTTATTTTTTAATATTAATTAAGTCCACTAATTACAGTTGTACGTACATCTATCGCTTTCAAATAGAGTGAGAGTAATCAAAACATTGGTATGTACCATCAATACATTGGTAAATTTCATGTAATTATAAGTCTTGAATTTAGGTTACTAATCTACCATCAATATTTATCATCAATATTTATCATGGAGAAAAAGCTAGAACATCTCTAAACGTAGAAAAAGACAACATTGAACAATCGAAAAAAATATTATAGAAGCAATATAACAATTGCATTCTTTCAAATGGCTAAATAAAATTGAAAACTTGAACATCTTGTTTGATGATCGTTGTGTTTTTGGTTTGTTGTTTTTGAAATTAAGCTTAGAACCACTACTTCTATATATTCATTTTGTCTTGTTATCAACTTCTAAAAAAGGCAAAAAAAAAAAAAAAGTAATTTCCAAATACTCGCTTTTGTTTTTAAAATTTGGCTAAAACGTGTTACGAACAAACGTGAAAAAACA